TTATTTCTTTTGTTTTGCAGAATGATATTAATGTTCTTGGTTCCAGAACATTCGTTACACCTCTATCGATGCAGGATGATATTAATGTTCTTGGTTCCAGAACATTCGTTATATTTCTTTTGTTTTAGTACATTATGGTCTTCCTTTTTCTTGGTATTTTTTTTTGGCATTTTTAGAAGTCGTCGTTTCAAACACATATTTTGCAGATAACTGAGAAACGTATTTCTTCGTGTCTATTTTTTCTTATTATTGATTTGTATTGTTTAGGCTCAGTTTGCTATATATATATATCAAGATGTTTCGGCAGTTCTTGACAAATATTTGAACGAGGTATAAAAGTACCACTTGTTTCACCAATAGGTGGCCTTTTTTTTGATAAACATCCACCCGTGTTTTCATGAAATAATCAGTGCTGAGTGCCGTGGAGTAACCAGCTTAAAGTTAATATCGTCTTGAATGTAGCTGACTCTTTCAGATCTTAAAAAACAGATGTCGCTTCATATTAAAGTCAATAAGGATATTTCTCAAACTTCTAAAGAAACTAAACGTATTTTTTTAACACATAAAACGAATATTTTTAAAAACGTGTACTGTTATTGGCTGCTTCCAAGACACGAACAACTTATTGTTAACGAGTCAGTGTTCTATTGTCGCACTGTACTGAACGTCACATTCATTACAGACCGGCATGGCCAGCTGGTTAGGGCGCTCGACTCGCAATCAGAAGGTCGCGGGTTCGAATCCCCGTCACACTAAACATGCTCGCCCTTTCAGCCGTGAGGGCGTTATAATGTGACGATCAATCCCACTATTCGTTGGTAAAAGAGTAGCCCAAGAGTTGGCGGTGGGTGGTGATGACTAGCTGCCTTCCCTCTGGTCTTACATTGCTAAATTAGGGACGGCTAGCGCAGATGGCCCTCGTGTAGCTTTGCGCGAAATTCAAAACAAACAAACAAACACACTCATTACGTTTTTAGTTAAACTAACGGTTTGTACTACTTTATTTTATACGCTGATGCACAGGATATAGTTAAACTAAATTGTCTACAGTGAGTCCTGTATTATCCCACATACTCCAGACCTCAGCTTGCTATATATATAAGAACGTATAAAGTCATTTCGTTGCTATTATGAAAATTGATTATATATTCAAAGCCACTTATAAAACAAGATGGTATCTTGGATGAGCGAGTGGCTCGTGAGGTCACATCTGGAAGTCTGCGTGTGTAACAAGAGAAGAAGAAGAAGAAAAACATGGATGACTTCCCTGTGTAATCATTACGTACGACCTTCGAATGTGAGAAGCTTGAAGAGTAGATGTTGTAGTTCATTTCTCAATGAATTCATTTAATGTTGTAGTTCATTTCTCAATGAATTCATTTAATGTTGTAGTTCATTTCTCAATGAATTCATTTAATGTTGTAGTTCATTTCTCAGTGAGTTAATTTAATGTTGTAGTTCATTTCTCAGTGAGTTAATTTAATGTTGTAGTTCATTTCTCAATCTACAACATTAAATTAATTCTTCATTTGTTTTATACACTGTACAGTGTTGTAACTATGACCTCGTTGTTTGATACACTGTACAGTGTTGTAACTATGACCT